AATTGACTTTTTCCCTGATGGTACCATCAGGGAAATTGGGTCAAAAATCGATTTTTGAGATTGCTATATGGTATACATTATTTTGATAGAGAATTTAACTGCAAGTTTAACGGCGCAAACCGTTTTGACGCTTGTCGCATAGTTTGTCTCTAAATTGCGTTTTTCGAACAGTTCCCCCCCTGTTTTTTTAGCAGTTTTTACCCGTTTAGAGACAAGGTATACGGCAGCCGTTAAATGTGATACCATCGTTAGACTCTCCGTTCGATTCTCTATCGAACTGACGTATGATATATGACGGCTGACGTGTAGTTTGTCTCTAAACAACGTTTTTCGGTCATTGGGAATCGTTTTTTGACGTAGTTTTTTGCAGTTTACCGACGAACAACACGGCAGCTGTCAAATCTGATTGCAATTAGATACTCACCGTTTGATTCTCTATCGAATGGATGTATCACATGTGACGGCTGCTGTATGGTTTGTCTCTAATTGACGTTTTTCTGTTGCCGCCCCTCAAGTTTTTGCGTCAGTTTTTTGCAGATTAGAGACAAACTATATAGTTTTATCAAATTCTGTTTGCGGCATTGATCTCAGCATTGAATTATCTATCGAAATGATGTATAATACATGGCATTTCAAAAATTGACTTTTTCCCTGATGGTACCATCAGGGAAATTGGGTCAAAAATCGATTTTTGAGATTGCTATATGGTATACATTATTTTGATAGAGAATTTAACTGCGAGTTTAACGGCGCAAACCGTTTTGACGCTTGTCGCATAGTTTGTCTCTAAATTGCGTTTTTCGAACAGTTCCCCCCCTGTTTTTTTAGCAGTTTTTACCCGTTTAGAGACAAGGTATACGGCAGCCGTTGAATGTGATACCATCGTTAGACTCTCCGTTCGATTCTCTATCGAACTGACGTATGATATATGACGGCTGACGTGTAGTTTGTCTCTAAACAACGTTTTTCGGTCATTATGAAACGTTTTTTGACGTAGTTTTTTGCAGTTTACCGACGAACAACACGGCAGCCGTCAAATCTGATTGCAATTAGATACTCACCGTTTGATTCTCTATCGAATGGATGTATCACATGTGACGGCTGCTGTATGGTTTGTCTCTAATTGACGTTTTTCTGTTGCCGCCCCTCAAGTTTTTGCGTCAGTTTTTTGCAGATTAGAGACAAACTATATAGTTATATCAAATTCTGTTTGCGGCATTGATCTCAGCATTGAATTATCTATCGAAATGATGTATAATACATGGCATTTCAAAAATTGACTTTTTCCCTGATGGTACCATCAGGGAAATTGGGTCAAAAATCGATCTTTGAGATTGCCATATGGTATACATCATTTTGATAGAGAATTTAACTGCAAGTTTAACGGCGCAAACCGTTTTGACGCTTGTCGCATAGTTTGTCTCTAAATTGCGTTTTTCGAACAGTTCCCCCCCTGTTTTTTTAGCAGTTTTTACCCGTTTAGAGACAAGGTATACGGCAGCCGTTGAATGTGATACCATCGTTAGACTCTCCGTTTGATTCTCTATCGAACTGACGTATGATATATGACGGCTGACGTGTAGTTTGTCTCTAAACAACGTTTTTCGGTCATAAGAAATCGTTTTTTGACGTAGTTTTTTGCAGTTTACCGACGAACAACACGGCAGCCGTCAAATCTGATTGCAATTATATACTCACCGTTTGATTCTCTATCGAATGGATGTATCACATGTGACGGCTGCTGTATGGTTTGTCTCTAATTGACGTTTTTCTGTTGCCGCCCCTCAAGTTTTTGCGTCAGTTTTTTGCAGATTAGAGACAAACTATATAGTTTTATCAAATTCTGTTTGCGGCATTGATCTCAGCATTGAATTATCTATCGAAATGATGTACAATACATGGCATTTCAAAAATTGACTTTTTCCCTGATGGTACCATCTGGGAAATTGGGTCAAAAATCGATCTTTGAGATTGCCATATGGTATACATCATTTTGATAGAGAATTTAACTGCAAGTTTAACGGCGCAAACCGTTTTGACGCTTGTCGCATAGTTTGTCTCCAAATTGCGTTTTTCGAACAGTTCCCCCCCTGTTTTTTTAGCAGTTTTTACCCGTTTAGAGACAAGGTATACGGCAGCCGTTGAATGTGATACCATCGTTAGACTCTCCGTTCGATTCTCTATCGAACTGACGTATGATATATGACGGCTGACGTGTAGTTTGTCTCTAAACAACGTTTTTCGGTCATTATTAATCGTTTTTTGACGTAGTTTTTTGCAGTTTACCGACGAACAACACGGCAGCCGTCAAATCTGATTGCAATTATATACTCACCGTTTGATTCTCTATCGAATGGATGTATCACATGTGACGGCTGCTGTATGGTTTGTCTCTAATTGACGTTTTTCTGTTGCCGCCCCTCAAGTTTTTGCGTCAGTTTTTTGCAGATTAGAGACAAACTATATAGTTTTATCAAATTCTGTTTGCGGCATTGATCTCAGCATTGAATTATCTATCGAAATGATGTACAATACATGGCATTTCAAAAATTGACTTTTTCCCTGATGGTACCATCAGGGAAATTGGGTCAAAAATCGATTTTTGAGATTGCTATATGGTATACATTATTTTGATAGAGAATTTAACTGCAAGTTTAACGGCGCAAACCGTTTTGACGCTTGTCGCATAGTTTGTCTCTAAATTGCGTTTTTCGAACAGTTCCCCCCCTGTTTTTTTAGCAGTTTTTACCCGTTTAGAGACAAGGTATACGGCAGCCGTTAAATGTGATACCATCGTTAGACTCTCCGTTCGATTCTCTATCGAACTGACGTATGATATATGACGGCTGACGTGTAGTTTGTCTCTAAACAACGTTTTTCGGTCATTGGGAATCGTTTTTTGACGTAGTTTTTTGCAGTTTACCGACGAACAACACGGCAGCTGTCAAATCTGATTGCAATTAGATACTCACCGTTTGATTCTCTATCGAATGGATGTATCACATGTGACGGCTGCTGTATGGTTTGTCTCTAATTGACGTTTTTCTGTTGCCGCCCCTCAAGTTTTTGCGTCAGTTTTTTGCAGATTAGAGACAAACTATATAGTTTTATCAAATTCTGTTTGCGGCATTGATCTCAGCATTGAATTATCTATCGAAATGATGTATAATACATGGCATTTCAAAAATTGACTTTTTCCCTGATGGTACCATCAGGGAAATTGGGTCAAAAATCGATTTTTGAGATTGCTATATGGTATACATTATTTTGATAGAGAATTTAACTGCGAGTTTAACGGCGCAAACCGTTTTGACGCTTGTCGCATAGTTTGTCTCTAAATTGCGTTTTTCGAACAAATCCCCCCCTGTTTTTTTAGCAGTTTTTACCCGTTTAGAGACAAGGTATACGGCAGCCGTTGAATGTGATACCATCGTTAGACTCTCCGTTCGATTCTCTATCGAAATGATGTATGATATGTGACGGCTGCTGTATGGTTTGTCTCTAATCGACAAAAAAACTTTTTTGTGACGTAGTTTTTTGCAATTTACCGACAAACGACACGGCAGCCGTCAAAACAGTTTGCGTTTTTATACTTACCTATTCATCTTCTATCGAATAGAGGTATCATATGTGACGGCTACCGTTTGGTTTGTCTTTATTTGACGGTTTTCTGATATAGCGTTTTGTTTCTACGGGTTCGTACAGCTAGTCTTCAACCCAATAGAGCTTTTTGCATATTACCAACAAACGACACGGCAGCCGTTAAAACGGTTTGCGTTTTTATTCTCACAGTTTTATTCTTTATCGAATAGAGGTAACATAGAATTGTGTGGTTTTCATATTTTATATAAAACAACAAAATATATTTTTTATTAAACAACAAAGTGAGGGGCGGCTAAAGAAAAACGTCAATACGAGAGAAAATAATAGTATTTAACCAATAAGATAATTTTTTAAAACAATGTCAAGATGCGATTTCATTTATTTGTTCAGAATATATTAAGATATCAAACACAACTTTTGCAAAATGTGAATTAAACTTCGAAACAAATTCCAAAAATAAACCTTTATTAAAAAAAGTCACAAAAAGAAACTTTAACAAATATATTTACAAAAACTAAACAATGTAAAATAAACCTAAAACGATTGTTTATTTAATAAATTGCACAAAACCCCAGCATCAGTAATGTATTTGGTAAAGTTGATATGGCAAGTTTCTTTTTTATATTTAGCTTGCATGTTTTTCAAGACGGTCCTTTTTTCATCCCAAGTCATCTTTTCACAGATTTTACTTAATCTGGACTTGTCGCTTTGATCCAGTAAACATAACTGCCATTCTTTGGAAGTAATCGGACCTTTTGCAATAATACATCTTTTAGCTATAAAAGCAATTGCCAAGAAAACTGATCGGTCAAACTTGTTCGACCGAGGAACATACCAGTCCCCTTTTTTAACTTCTTTATAATCTGAAAAATAACAAATGATATTTTATTTCAAATGAAAAAAAAACAAATATTTTTATTTTTATTTGTTCAATTTAGTCTATTATTTAACAACACTGATCAAAGATTACCAAGCAAAATTTCTTCTTTTTCTTCATTATTCAAATCTTCATATGATGACACTTCACTTCTTTCACTTTCACTCTCTGAACTGCTATCTACTAAAAATTAAAAAAAAAAATAGTATATTGCATTTAAGACTATAAACTTCTTTTATATAAGACATAAAATCATTTCTATAAAGAAGTCTTATATATCTTAACTAGAGCTTTATAAACTCTTAACTAGAGCCTTATAACTTCAAACCTTTAAGCTTTCTTTTTAAATTTTTCTTTTTTTCTTCTTTGTTACACGTTTTTAAATGGAGCATCTCTAGTAAATTGAAAATTTATACAGATTGATCATTTATCTGTAAATAATTATATACATAGTTCTGCATATGTTTAAAAGTTAGATGCATATATAAATATAGATATTAATTGTGCATTTTATACCGTCAACTGTTTGATATTTGGATTTCTTCAAAATATCTATCATAACTTCCGTTTGACTTGTCACACTCAAGTTGTCAAGCGGTGTTCTAGCTGAAAAGTTTGTATTATCTATTTAGAACACACTGTATGATAAGAAATTTTTTGTTTGTAAAGCAAGTTTTTTAAATTATATTTAAATGTTACCTGCAATAATTTTCTGAATTAATGGCGGATAACTGGGATTGATGTATTTGTAATTGCAATGTACATTCCCGTCTCGTTTCCCAGAAACCACGTTCTCCACAGACACACGATCTTCAAATTTAATTAATGAAATCAATTTTTATACTTTTTAGAGACTTTTAATTAAAATAAAGTACTTTTTAACAACTTATAACAAAAGTTAATGTGTTAAGGTAATTAGCAGTAGTTTATTAGTTTAATTACAATAAATATGTACCAACCTTTTCTACAAATAACCGAATCTATGAGGCTCGACAAAATAGACTCAACTATAATAGTTGATTCACTAAAATCATCTAATAAAAAAAAATTAATATGAATTTGTTAGGCATAACTTGTTGCAGCATCGAAAAGTGTATGTATTTAATTTACTAAAAAAAATTAAATTATTAATTAACTAAACATTAGTACTATGGACAGGCTTACCTGTACAAACTTCATTTTTAGATGAAGTTTCACTCGGATGAATAACTGTAGGTGGAACTAAGTTTCAAGAAATAAAAATATTATAAACATTTGTAACAACTACCATTGAAATGTCATTACCACTAGCAAATTTCTTTAATACATTTACCAAAAAAGTTTTATTTAGCAGTTCTAACTGAAACATTATTTTATAACTATAATAAACTTACTCTTTTTATCAGGTTCAGCCACCTGTCTTGAAAAATCAATGTCATCATTATCTTCTAAAAGAACAATTAGAGGTATAAAACTAAGGCAAAAAATTTATAAATGTTTTTTTAAAAATGTTTTCACAATAAAAAAACACTTACCCTCAAAGTTATCCTTAAAAGCAATGCGTTTTTTACTTTCAGGCTGATCTGAAAACATAGAAAAAATTTTAAATAAAATGATGTTATTAGCAAAACTTATACATTTACAAAATTTTAATCACCGATGTCTGAAGACTCATATCCTTTGTCTTTAGTATGTTTACTTAGATACTGATTTATTTCAGTATCAACATACTCCTCTCCAGAAATGCTTTTTATTTGTTCAGCAGTTTTTGCTAACCATTTCTTTAGCTTTTTCGAAGACATTTCATTTACCTGAAATTTCTTTGCCAACCCGTAATGCTGCCCAACTTGTATACTGATACGGGCTGACTTTCTTTCATTGAAATTTGTTACATAAAAACGTTTAGTTGTTTGTGGCTTATTTTTCATGTATAACTGTGAAAAAATAAACATTATAACACTACAACAACTTAAATAAAGTTAAATAATGCTGAAAAAACAAACATGACTAACTCACCGTGGCAACGTCTTCCATGCCTTCTTCTCCTTGGCAAGCTAACTCGCTAGCAATTGAAATACGAATTCGTGTTGGACAAACACGACCGAACTTTTTCTCATCATCAAAGACCTGTGCCTTTTTAAAACTCGTCGTCATTCCGTTTGCAACCGCAGACTGTGTCATTGACGACTTGCTTTTGGTTGCAAACAATGGCGAGGTTTTATTTGTTTTTTGGCCCAACAAAACAGGCAAAAAAAAGTCAACATATGTTGTTAAAAATTGTTGGAGCTCCTTATCCACTACAATAATCTTCGTCCCATAGATCATGCTGGTTTTATAGCGATCTGATCTAAATATCACAGCCCCAGGGTACTCGGGATCTTGGTATGCATCTTCGAAATCCTGTATCGTCATATTTATCAAGTTGGACGATCTGGTGGCGTTCCAAAAACAAATCAAGACCATTAGATAATCTCGAATGTCAATGGCTTCTTGAAAGGTTGGTTTACTGACAGTTGAGTTTAGTATCTTTTTCACCTGCACAATGTGTTCACTGTTCTCGTACG